ATCTACATGTTTTTGTGAGCAACGGTTCTCAATGCTCACATCTATAAAAATAAGAAATACAAGCTGTTTTGATTTGTCAAAACAAATGTTGTATCAGCTAGCTGAAAGAAGTCCTATCTCATCAAATTACACATTCCCAATCAAAATGTATGCTAAAATTTGAAAAATATGGTTAAACTATTCTGACCGGTTATATAAACTAATGATTATAATAGTTCAATCTGGAAGAAAATTTTGGTATGGGAAATTTAAAAAAACAACTTTTAATTTATGCATCTATTTTCTTGCAGGTAAGTATAGTAGATTAACCAACAAGACTTCATGCATAAAAATATATGCCTTAGGATAAAAATCTGTGGGGAAACTGAAAGAGAAATAGGAGTTCACAGAGAAAAAGGAAAGACGTAAACTATCTGTTAAAGAAAATTTTGAAGATAAAGTTAACAATTTTTTTTTAAAGATTTTATTTTTATTTATTGGACAGAGAGAGAGAGCACAAGTAGGCAGAGAAGAGGCAGGCAGAGAGAGAGGAGGAAGCAGGCTCCCCGCTGAGCAGAGAGCCCGATGCGGGGCTCGATCCCAGCACCCTGGGATCATGACCTGAGCTGAAGGCAGAGGCTTAACCCACTGAGCCACCCAGGCGCCCCAAAGTTAACAATTTTTAATGTGTTTTTTAAGTGAGTGAAAGTGGGTACAAAATTTCCATTATATTTATATTCTACTGGAGACATTTAAAAGGGCCAGGTAACAATTTTATTTAAAAAATGTTATTTACCACAGATCACATTCTCTTTATTTAAAACTCATGCTGAAAAATTTCTGGTGTTAGGTTAGAAACACACAAGGGGTACGGTTTTCCAAAATCCTTTCAGGAGGCCCATATGACCACAAAAAGCAGGAAGACTGAGGCCATGACCATCCCCACCCACCCCTTAAACATCCCCCGTACCACTGAGCTAAAAATCAAATTCATTACCCACTCCTCCACCCCTGCTCCCTTCCTGCACGTCCAATTATGGTCAGTGGTGGTGGTCACCCGCACCAGAAACTGTACACAGAAACTTCCACGACGTCTGCCTTTCTTACGCCATCAGTCTCCTGGATTCAGCTGTGTCTTCCCTCCACCCCGTCCCCTGTATCCTCTGCTGCTGCCACCATCGTCACCATCTCCTAGAACGCTAGGGGCTGTCTGGCCTCCGATCTCTCATTCCTCTGCTCTACCTTCTGTTTCACTGCCAGCATGATCATTCTACCGTAGGGTTCAGGTTAAGCCACTTCCAGCCACGCTGCCCACAGGACAAAGTCCAAACACTTTATCATGGCGAAATGCAAGATCCCCGCGACTGGGCGTCGACCTGCTTGCCCAGGGCCAGCCCTTCTCCAGGTCTCTCCACTCACCCCATGAATTATCATCCATTCCTTGGAACCAACTTGTACTTTGATGCCCAAAACTCCAGCCCCGAATCCTCACTTTCCACCCATGAAAGTGCCATCCTCACCACTTCACACCCACGAGGATGAGTATAACCAAAGAGGCACACGGGAACACGAGTTGGAGCGGACAGGGAGAAACCACAACCCTCACACATTGCATGCTGCTGCTGCTCTGGAAAACCGCCTGCAGTTTGCATGGCCCGGTGACGCCCCTGCCGGACAGATGTCCCTGAGAAACGAAAGCCCCTATGTGACAACTTAGACACAAAGGCTCTTATAAGTATTCCTAAGTATAAAAGCCACAAAATGGAAACAACTCAAAATGCCACCACATGATAAACGAATGAATAAAATGCAGAGCGTACACATACAATGGCGTATTTTTTGTCACTGAAACAGAATGAAGTACTGTCACACGCTGCGACGCAGATGAACTGTGGACACGTGTGCTACGTGAGAGGCCAGCCACAGCAGGCCACGTCCTGTAAAATTTCTGTTTTGTTTTGTTTTTCTTTTCTGAAGACTATTTATTTATTTGACACAGAAAGAGAGATCACAAGTAGGCAGAGAAAGAGGGGGAAGCAGGCTCCCCACTGAGCAGAGAGCCTGATGCGGGACTCGATCCCAGGACCGAGATCATGACCTGAGCTGAAGGCAGAGGCTTAACCCACTGAGCCACAGAGGCACCCCTAAAATTCTGTTTATATGAAATGCCCAGCTTAGGCAAAAATATATAAAGACACGAAGTAGATCAGTGGTTGTCTAGGGCTGGGGAAGTGGGGGGATAGTTGGAAGGGCTAATGGGTATGGAGTTTCTTTTAAGGGAGACAGAAATGTTCTAAAAGTAGGGGTGGGATTGTACAACACTGTGAATACACTAAAAAAAAAAATCCTAGAATTGCACACTTTAAGAAGGTGCATTTTGGGACACCTGGGTGGCTCAGTTGGTTAAGCGGCTGCCTTCGGCTCAGGTCATGATCCCAGCATCCTGGGATTGAGTCCCACATCGGGCTCCTTGCTTGGCAGGGAGCCTGCTTCTCCCTCTGCCTCTGCCTGCCACTCTGTCTGCCTGTGCTCGCTCTCGTTTCTCTCTCTCTGACAAATAAATAAATAAAATCTTTAGAAAAAAAAAAAAGGTGCATTTTAAGGTATGTAAACTATATCTCAATGTAGCTGCTTACAAAAAAGACTACTCAGCCTAAAAAGCCCGCTTCCCATATAAAACCCCATCCGACCCCTCCTCATTAACAACCAGTTGTTATTTTGGGTTATCGTCAGTCTTGCCTTCCTGAGTTCCTGCAGTCATAATTTACATCTCTAATTACCACTTACTTCATTCTGCAACTTATTAAAAAGTATTTAAAGGGTTCTGAAACCAGACTGTTTGGGTTTAAGTCCTCCCTCCATCGTTCGCAAAGCATATGACCTTGTTCAAGTTACTTCTCTGTGCCTCTGTTTCCTCATTCCAAAGTGAGGAAAATAGGAGTACTTATCTCATAAGCCTTTTGGGTGGAGAAATGAGTTCATATACATAAAAGGTCAAGAATAGTGCCTGGAACATCCTATAGGCTAAATATGTAACTGTCAGTTCCTGCTACTACCGTATTACGCTACATTGTTGTATCAGCTGTCTATAAGTCTGTCTCCTCTTTCTCAGTTTATATTTTAAGGTCCTAAGGAAAAAGAATAAAATCTCTATTTTATTATCTACCCTCGTATTTCCCAAAGAAGAAGAAGATCAGCACAGAGCAGCTGTAAGAGAGGAACACGGGGCCAGGCTCCAACCTTAGGGAGACCTGCCTTCACCTGCCCATGACACAGCAGCAGCTGGGTAAATTTAATCCAAACAAGGCCCGATTGGCAAAAGAGATCAGGAAAAAAATGTACCAGAAAGAGTGTTAAAATCTTTTACTTCCACTAAGAGATTTAAACTCTCCCAAATATAGAAATACCAAATATATTAAGGAATCAACAGAGTTGCCCAAATTTTCATATTTTACCCACATTTACCAAAATTCCTCCATATGTTCCATTTATTCATTCTCACTGAGTGCCAATTATGCACAGGGTGCCACATGCTAGACTCAGGAAATGTACAATCTATTGCTTTTCCAGGCTGATCTCCTCACATGACTAGGAAAAGAATTTAAAGGTGTCTGTCTCTGAATGTATATGAGCAATGTTTACTCAAACAAAAATGACAAATTCCATACTTAGAAAAAATTATTCAAAAGGTGAACTGAATTTATATAATTTCTTTTAACTATGTGCATTTGGTAATTAATATGACTGGCCTAAAAGAAGGAGTAGACTGCATCTGGCATAAATTTAATGGAAAAAAGCTAAAAACATTGCCTATTAAAAAAAAGAAAGGCTCCCACAGATCAGTGCGGTACTTACAGAGGTGAATTTCTAGCACGTAGGTTATTCACTAGACCCTAAAGCATAATATGACACTTAAATATAATGTTATGAAGTATATCAATTATGGAAGCAAAATCTCCCCCACCCCCAAATTCTACACAAACACCCTTCTGCAAGTGGGATTAAAGTAGAACATTCCATTTCAAATTTTGGGATTTCACAGAGAAAATTCTGAGGACTCAAAAATTCGTGCACTCAAGAATGCCAGTTTAATCTGCAAAGGTCCCTGTAGCTGTCTTAATCTCATGCTCCCCCATATCCTTCACGTGGCACTTTCGGTTCTTCCTGTAACCTGCAGAACGAGGCTGCTGTTTTTACCGACAATACTTAGAGAGCCAGCTTACGGTCTGTATTTCCAAATGAACAAAAGGCGTGCCTTAACCCTTCACTCCAACACATCAGTCATTTCTTCAGGCGTTCCTCAAACTCAAAGCACCCCTGATAAATCAGAAGGGAGAAGTATTTTCACTGGCACACAGCAGCTGTTGAGTAAGTATCTGCTGAGCGAGTGCACCTACCAGAGAGAGAATGCACCTGCCTTTACCAACTCATGGAAAGAACAATCCAGTACAACCCAGATATGCGGGGCTACTCCTTTATAGCAGTTTCTGTTACGAGTAATTACGGATTTGGTGGCAAGAAGAAGCACTTTGCTGTTGAGATGAAAACAAAGTATAAAAGCTGTTACACATCGTTTCTGGATGGGTTTCAGCATCTTGGATTAAATGGCGCTTCAGGGGAAAACGACAGAGCAGGGTCATCTGCTCACTTCCTGATGTACGCTCTAGGATGTACAGGAGCCGGAATCAGATAAACAACAAGCTAATTTGCTCCTGGGACCTCCTAGAGTTATCAGGTACAGCGCATACTTTATCCCTACTTCCAAAATAGCTATGCGGATAGAGCTTTAATTTTAGTAAGGAAAAAGCCAGTAGGGCTTGGTTCCCATATTTCGCTGCACACTGGAGTCACTTGGGGACTTTTTAGAAACATAACGGCTCCCAGCCCCCCAAATTCTGATCTAAATGACAGAGTGCAATCTGTGCCTCGGGGTTTTCAAAGCTCAGTCTGTGATTCTCCTGTGCAGCAATCCGGGAATCACTGCCCCCGGGTGTTTTAATTCAGGACTTTCAGCAACTTACACCTGAGGCTGGAGAATCTTCAGCTGAGTGAGGATGTCCTTCTGTACCCTGGGGTTAGCTGTGGCGGTAAGGGCCATCACTGGAACAGAAGGGAACTTCTGGCGAAGCATATTCATTCTTTTGTAATCTTGGCGGAAATCATGTCCCCACTAGTTGGAAAAAAAAATACTGCTTTTCAGACTGTCTGGATCTTCCCTACATAAAGAGAAAACACTGCTCACTGTACTGAGAACCACTGTATTCTTCAGCGAGCTAGAAGAGTAAGTTACTGATTTCCCTCTATTCTGAAATACATATCCTATTGGTAGTATGTATTGAGATTTCAAGTCACATAAACCAGTATTTACCTGACTGACACAATGTGCTTCATCAATGACAAAACGTGCCAAGAGCTTCCTCTCATACAGATTCTCCAGCGTGGAAATCAGTCTATTACTTGCACAGACCTAGAGCAGAAATGTATTCATGAGAGATCTGAAAACATTTAAACACCACATCACCTTAAGGGCTCTGTTGTCTTTAAGTTTCACTACAACGTAAGCTATATTAAAACCTCCATATAAAAGAAGTTCTTACTTCAATGTATGAAGAAAATTGGCAGAAGTAATAGAAAATTCTGAATGAGACCCTCTAGAATATTCACCCCCATTTAGCAAGCAATTATGTATTAGGTCAGTGGTTCTAAAGCATTTTTTTCTGCCTCAATATACCTGAGGTTCACCACACATTTATGCTGGTAACAGGGTTACAGATGTATGTTGTGGGAGGGCATGCTATTTGGGGGGTGGCGACACACACATTTGTATGTATGTATGTATTTCATGGTTCCGTCTATACAGGGCCTAGAAGCAATGATGTCCCAGTGGCAACGACAAAACCTGGCATCCATATCTAGACAGGGACATGTCAAAAGGACACAGAAGCAGTGAGTTGGAACTCTTCTACTAGCCAAATCTAGGACAATTAGAACATCCAAATAAACAATGAGAACTGACGATAGCCCCCTGACAAATTAAGAACCCATGACTTTAAGTTGATATATCTATATAAGTAGATAAAAGGGAAAGCTCTTCATCATAAGAGAATGCCAGCTAAGTCAGAAAAATCATCATTTGGCATCCATTATAGTAAACACTGACAGGGAGTCATCAACGGATGATAAAAACTCTCTTGGGTAAGTCTGATGAGTAACAGGATACTTACCCAGTCTCAGAGTATCCCACAGCAGGATACACGCCAATTGCAAAAGACAAAATGCACCTTTATTTTTGTAATTATTATAGTAATCGCAACGACGACAAATAAAAGGAATTTTGTAGTGGAGAAACTGGACAGACATCACCTCAACCAAGGGATCAAAGTTAACTAACATGACCGGTAACAGAAGGAACAGACATCCGGTGCCTCCCACTCGGATGCGAGAACATGTCACCACCTCTGTGATACTCCTGCCAAGACGAGTAACATCAACCTCATCATGAGAAAACAGAAGATACATTCGAATTGAGGGACAGTCCTCAAAACAATTGGCCTTTACTCTTCACAATTTGTCAAAATCATGAGAGACAGTAAAACCTTAAAGAGACATGACAACCGAATGCAATGCATAATCCAGGATCTTCTTTTGCTATAAAGGACATTACTGGGACAACTAGTGAGACTGGAATGAGGTTTACCGATTAAGCCATTGTACTATATCAGTAAAAATTTTGTCATTTTAATGATTGTTCTGAGGTTATGCAAGAGAATTTGTTTTATTTATTTATTTATTTTAAAAGACTTTATTTATTTGACACAGAGAGAGAGAACACAAGCAGGGGGAGCGGCAGGCAGAGTGAGAGGCAGGCTCCTCGCTAAGCAGAGAGCCTGATGCAGTGTCCATCCCAGGACCTCGGGATCATGACCCGAGCCAAAGGCAGATGCTTAACTGACTGAGCCACCCAGGCACCCTGGAATTTGTTTTTAGGAAATGCACAGTGAAGTATTTAGGGTTGAAAGGGAGAACATGTCTGCAACCTACTCTCAACTATTTTAGGAAAAAAGTAAAGAGAGAGAACAATAAAGCAGTTACAGTGAAGTGTTATCATTAGGGTTTCAGGGTAAAAGTAATACAGGAATCCTTGTACTATACTGTGTATGAGAAATTATGTCAATGACTCAGTCGGTTGGGTGGCTCAGTTGGCTAAGAGTCTGCCTTTGGCTCAGGTCATGATCCTAGGGTCCTGGGATTGAGTCCCACTGAGCAGGCTCCCTGCTCAGAGGGGAGTCTGCTTCTCCCTATCCCCCTCCCCCCTGCTCATGCTCTCTCTCAAATAAATAAATAAATAGAATCTTTATTAAAAAAGATTATGTCAAGAATCTAAAAATATGTATTCTAGTGGGCTTTAATGAAATAATAGAAAAATATACTGGTCTCTGCTTCCAGTTCCTGGCACAGAGCTCTTGAAACCTTTGTAATTTGCTAACTGATAAGAACAGAAGCCTCCCTAGTTCTAATATTTGTCTCTGACCCCATCCTTGATGCAGGGCTCCTAAAGCCCTTCTAAATTCTTAAGTGTTAAGAACAGCAGGAGCATCTTTTGTTCTGAGGCAGTGACTCTGGGTGAGGGCTGCTCACCAGAGAGACCGAGCCATGATCAGAAGCCTGGAATTCTCAGGAGCACCCCATCCTGCAGAGAGGGGAGAGGGGCTGGAAATGATCTTGCTGACATGAGGCAGCCATAAAACCCCCAGAGTTGGGGGTTTGGCGGGCTTTCAGGTTGGTGAACATGTCCACATGTGGAGGGTCAGGCATCCCAATGCCATGGGGACAGAAGCTCCTGCGCTCGGGACCCACCTAGTCCCTGTCCTGTGTCTCCCTCCTCTGGCGGTTCATCTGCATCCTTTATCACATCCCATAATAAGCTGGTAAATGTGAAGTGTTCCCTTGAGTTCTGCGGGCCGCTCTAGTACACCAATCAAACCTGAGGAGGGGGGTCATGGGAACCTCTGATTTGTTAGCCACATCGGACAGAAGTTATGGGTAACCTGGGGACCTTCAACTTGCTGCTGGCATCTAAAGAAGGGTGGGAACTATCTTGAGGGGCCGAGCTCTTAACCCATGGGATCGGATGCTATCTCTGTGCAGACACCGTCAGCATGGAGTGACACTGCGGGACCCCTTGCTGGGGTCACAGAGAGCTGCTCAGAACGAGGAAAAAGTCTACACATTTGGTCACCAGGACTGAAAACACTATGTGATGGTAGAGGAGAAAACAAGAGGGGGGAAGACTGGGTTTTTCCCTCCTCAGGAGGCAGACTTGGGCTGTTTTTCTAACACAGTTTTAATACCATATTTTAAAATAACAGTATCAATACATACCTTCTCTGGAGTGACATATAGAAGTTTTATAATTGGGTCTTTCTTGGATAATTGCAGGTAAATACTTGTGGCTTCTGAGTCAGTCTTATCACCTGTCAGATAGGTAGCTGGGATCTAAGCACATAAGTAGCAAACATAAGCACAGACGTATCCTCAGTCTCTATAAATGTTTTAGAAGTCATATATCAAAACTGGGTCAAAGGGAAGACAATCTCAGCGCAGTGGAAGTAAGTAGTTAGCATATATTTTAATAAAAAGAACTTAGCCTTAACTCAAAATATTCCCATTATTTATTTCTTCTCTTTTTTCCCCTTTTCTTTACTGCTTTTGCTTTTCATATCTATAAGTAAGATAAATATGAATTCAGTACCCAAGAGCGTCGCATCCTGACGTATGGCTCGTTTTAGTTTGGGTAAAGGTATCTCCAGCGTTTTAAAGCTCAGGGACGATGAGAGTAGCATCAGGCCTGATGGGCCACAGGGGATGGGCATTGCACAAACACATTCTTTGGAAGAAAAATCAAACCAGCGGTCTTATTGAAGGGTGGGAGCTCATAAGCTTGAAAAATGCAGGATTTGGCAGAATACATTCATATACGTTCTTAACCTCGGCCAAGAGGAAAAAGGACACCCGTGTGGGGGTGCTCCTGTGTACACATTTTAAGATGTGAAGAGAGTGGGAACTGTGGTGATCTCGCAGTAATAAGAAAAGAAATCCGTTCACATTAGTAAAAGAAATTCACATCAGGAAAATATAGGTTAAAAGTTCTTGCTAAATTACATTTTTCTAGAATGAAATCAGACTGAACTACAGAAGGTTATCTGTATTGGAATTTTCAAAGACTTGTACAACTTAATGAAACTGCTGTGCTTTATGTTTGCAACTCACAGACTACTTTATGAAAAAGGTTACTCAGAGTACTGAAATACAATTATTTTTATGTCTTTATTAGTATTTTTTATTGTAATTGGTAGTATTTTAACTTACATCCAAGGAAGTCAGCTTTTGGACTTGATCTACTATGAGTGATCTCAAGGGAGAAATGACAATTGTGACGCCAGGAGAGACACAGGCAGGGAGCTGGTAACACAGACTTTTACCACCTCCTGAAAGGACAAAACCCCCCCCCCAAAACCTGTCAGGTTCAATCTTGAGAGCATGAAGGCAAAAGTTACGAACTAAATCATACAGTAATATTTAAAAGCAATTAACTAACAGGACACCAAGTGACATTCAGCACTGTGCCAACAATTTGCCATATCTGAATGAGCCAAAATATTTAGACAATTTAAATGTGTGAAAATTACCTTTTAGGCCATCTCGTGTAGGCTTACATGAATGCAAAAGCACGAATCAGGGCAGGGAACTTAGAGGCAATAGAATTGCTTTAAAAATCTACTTGGGAAATCCAAACACTGTAAAAGGGGTGTTCTATCACAGCGTTAGGATGAAAATAATTACCTGGTATAACATTTAATTTTTAAAGACTTAACATGTGATAAAATATATATCACTTAGGACCATAGTGACCACGGTTTAACACTTCTTAGATGATCAGAAAACACTTCTAGGATCTTACTTTTTTAAACTAGCATGAACCTGTCAACACTAAATTCCCACGCTTTGACTCCTGGTACTCTTATCAATAAGGGAATGTTCCCAATATTCCTTTGAGATAAAAGAAGGGTAGAACTACACTGGGGTATACTAACAGAACATGAAGAGAAAGACACCCTGAGACGCACCCCCATCTCTCCGTGTAACTCGAATTCAAAATGGTAAGACAATCAATACACGTTAAATGCTACCTAAAATGATTCGTCTCTAATTTTCAACTTCTCCCATCCACTAATAGTAGAAGCTTGTGCCAGGCAGTTTCTAAGACTTTGTTTTTGGTTTTGAACTATACATCACATTCTACTTCTTTACCTATGGCTAAACGCTTTTCGTCGGATGGTCACGACATTCTGTGAAGTAGGTGATTTACTGTCATCCTCACCGGACATAGGAGGCAGCTGGCACGTGGGCTGAAGGGCCTTGCTCAAGGTCACGCTGCGAGTAAGTGGCAGGGCTGCATGCTGAGGCCAGGCCATCGCTCCAGAACTAAAGATCTTAACCACCCTTCAACACTACACTGAACCAAATAAAGTGTCAGAGGCGGGCAAGGCCTCTGACGGTAATTCTTTAAGTGCCAGACTAATTTAGACTTAAAGAAAGAGAAAGAGAGAGAGAGAGAGAGAGAGAAATTCTGGATTGACTGAACACAACAAGCTCTGAGTTGAAAATCTTAAAGGGCCATTAGCCCTATCACGTCGACAGAGGACGTGAGGTAGTACACTTTCTCACTACCGCGCGGGAGGTCTAGAGGTCCCTTCATGATGGAATTACTGTGTGGGTGTGCATTTTATTTCTATTAAAGGACTTTCATTTAACATCTGCCAATGGACTCCTGCCAATTGACATCTAAAAATACGTACCAGTGGGCATTAAGATAAAACAGTCTTCACCCAGCAGCGCAGCATTGATCGCCTCTAGCTGATTAGTTCTAAAATTATGCAGGCCAAATTTTTTATGAAAAATCTTCATCATTTCTTTTGTATGAGGAAAACTAAGACTTCGGAAACGCTCGTGTTTCAGATTTCTGGATGCTAAATCTTGCGCCGACTTCTCTGAGAAAACAATCGATGTTAAGAAAAATCAGCGCGTTATTGTTAACAAGTCAGTTTCAGCCCTTACCCCATGCCACACAAAATCAAAGGCATACATATCCCTGCAGCACATCCTTCTTTAACCACTTATCAGGGTTTCATCCCTGCCAAATGTCAAAGCTGCCAGAAACTTCCTGAGGCCAAATTCCAGTCTCTTCCTTGATCGCTCTGCAGCGCCCACCACTAACTATTTCATTTATTACCTTCTTTCTCCTCTCCTGACCTTCAAGACAATCATGGGGTTTCTACTCAAATTCTCTCTCCAAGCTCCACTTCCTCCACCTGCCCCTTACACGTGGGAGTCTTTGCAGATGCTTGGGACTTTTAGCCATTCTTGCTTTGGAATTCTCAGTCCTCTGATCTTAGTCCCCACCGATACCTGCCCAAGTTCCAGTCCTGGGCGCGTCTCCAGACGTCTGCAAGACATTTCCACCTGAATAACTTACCAACACTTTAAGCTCCACAAGTCTTAAAATAGCCCTCCTCAGCTTTTCTCCCAATCTGCTCTGCCTCCTGACTCCCCTGCTCTGCTAATGGTGTCATAGATTTCTCAGTCACCGGGTCTGAAACCTTGGCGGCATCTCGGCTTCCCCGGCTCTCCTTCCACCGTGTCTCTCACATCCACCCCTCCGCTCGGCTTCCTGCTCTGCAGCCCTGCTCTCCCAGCCCCGGTTCGGCACGCAGAACAAGGGGTGCTCACGCCAGCTCTGGCAGTCTCTCTAATCCCAGCACTTGACTGTCTCAAAGATAATTGCGAACATCAAGGATGACACACTCTAATGTGCTACAAAAATAAATCCATTAATGGTTATTCTAAAGGTCAACAGCATAACTGTTAAGAACAACCTCCGTGGTATTAAGTCATCAATGGCAAAAATAGGGAAGGCTGTACTTTATAAAACCTTACACATAGAAACTTGTTTCAGTTAAAAAACACTTGGCAATGACTTTACAGAGTTGATGTAACGTTTTAAAATTAATCTTGGCTTCTCTCTGCAGCCTTTCCAGTGGTTAATTGCACTTTTCAACAAACTTCTACTAAACTATGAGTTTCAGGAGGACAGGGACTACTCGTTACTCACCTATGACCAGAACCCGGCACAGAACAGGGCCCGAAGTGCGCACGCCATAAGTGTTTGTTAAATGAATTAAAAGGATTTTAGGCCCAAAGAAATAATTTGTCTTTTTTTTTTTTTTTTAAGAGAGAGAGAGCAGGGCGCCTGGGTTGCTCAGTGGGTTAAAGCCTCTGCCTTCGGCTCAGGTCGTGATCCCAGGGTCCTGGGATTGAGCCCCACATCGGGCTCTCTGCTCAGTGGGGAGCCTGCTTCCTCCTCTCTGCCTGCCTCTCTGCCTACTTGTGATCTCTGTCAAATAAATAAATAAAATCTTCAAAAAAAAAAAAAAAAAAAAGAGAGAGAGAGCATAAGGAAGAGGAGCCCGATATGGGGCTCAATCTCAGGACCACGGGATCAAGACTTGCGTTGAAGGCAGATGCTTAACCGCCTGAGCCATCCAGGTGTCCAAGAAATAATTTGTCTTAAGAAATTTCTGACTTCATGTCTTTCTTAAACTGTCCTGCATTTTAATATTTTAAGACAAAAAACATGATTCTCTACTTTGTAAATTGATCAGTTCTCATTAATTCAGAGTTCTAAAAATACACACAATTACAGTTTTAATATATAAATTTAGCCTTGATTTTACTCATCCCCCAAATCATTAAAAACTTGGTCCTCATGAGCTTTATTGTTCTACGGACTAAAAAACGTTAATTTAAAGGCAAAGCACATTTGTAATGACTTTAGAGCTTTACTACAATAGGTCATAATTAGTCATTTTATAAAACAGCTGCTACGGAGACAAAGGAGCAAATGCTTTTGAAATTGTGATCTGTAACTTGTGTCATCAGCAGGAATTTGCATAGAAACAATGTACTTTTCAGGCAAGGATGATGTGCTATCGATTCTTTTACACAACTCCGATTCTGACAGTTATGTTTTCATATAAAATATAAGCATTTATTTTAAACTTACCAGTGTACTTCTGAATTGACTCTGAGTTTTTATTTTGAGCAGCAGATGCCACTGGAAGACAGTTTGTCTTGGCTGAAGAACTTCTTTCTGATACTGGCTTAACGGGCCGACCTTCCTTAATAGGTTGACAGGCAGCCGTGGAAGATTTGCTGGCCGCTAAACTATGCATAATATTTTCCCAGTCATCATCATCATCATCATCAAAGCCATCTATGTCAAAACTGTCAATATCGCAGGCAGCCTGGAATTCTCTTTCTAAGTCATTTATTGGAGCAGCACATTTATTCTGATCTTTCACAGCTGTGCTTGTGAGAACATTTCCCGGGAAGTAAGGGGTTTCGTTTCTTTTTTCTACCCTTGGTGTGTCAGCCCAGTTGCTACTTACAAAGGACTTCTGTAAATGGGGGTTGAATAACGGTCTTTCAGAGGGATTCTTCGTGGTGGCTGTGAATCCTGTCTTTCCTGGGGTAGCGGCCACTAAACACTCCCTAGTGGAACTGGGATGCGAGGGAAGGTGTGGAAAATTTAACTCCTTAACCGAACTCCCTGTAGGACAGGAGTTGCCCTTTGGAAAAGCGCTGGGAGCAGAAACAGAAGCCATATCCTCCACAGGGTTCCCACGTGAAGCAGGCCTGCGTCTCCACCAGGAAGCAAGAATACTGGCATCACTTGTATTAAAGTCGGCTTCAGCTAGGAGCTTCCTTCTGAAGAGGAAACAGAACACCACATGAAATGTGAGGCCACACAAGTCTGTCTTTAGTGGCGAAACAGATCCTCTTTTTCTCAGTCTTGAAAATGTGAATACAAATGCTAAGGGGGCAGTTTGAAAAGGTAAATAAATTTAATTTTTTTAAGGTTAAAAAAAAAAAAAGATTATTTATTTATTTATTTATTTGACAGAGATCACAAGTAGGCAGAGAGGCAGGCAGAGAGAGAGAGAGAGAGGAGGAAGCAGGCTCCCTGCCAAGCAGAGAGCCCGATGCGGGGCTCGATCCCAGGACCCCGGGATCATGACCTGAGCCGAAGGCAGAGGCTTTAACCCACTGAGCCACCTAGGTGCCCCGAAAAGGTAAATAAATTTAAAACAGAACAATGACAATTATCCTATTTAATTTCCTGGCTAGAATGCTTGGAAATTCTGCCCCGTATGTTCTGACTTATGTTGGTTGAAATGTAATCAGATATATACCAGAAGAAAAAAACGTTAGATACCTTATGTCCCGCTGCTGATGCAGTTCATTCCCACAATCCAGAGCTTTCAGTTCATGGTCAGGAATAGTATCGACTAATTTACAGATCTGGTCCATCACATGAATAAGCTGCTGCTGCACACTTGTCTGTTTAGCTATAAAGTGTCATTTTGTTAATATTTTTCCTTGAGCAAAGATTTAAAATTATGACAGTCATGCACATAAAATTGGTAGTTGTTTAACAACAAGATTATAAACTACCATATATTGCCCTATTCTCTGCCTGTGAAATAATCTGAAATTGTGTTATCTGTACTCTATATCATGAGAGCCCAAAACTTGTGTTATCATCATCTCATTTCATGTTAGTTTTCAATTATTTCTCTTAGGGTAACCAATGTCATTGTAAGATGCAAAGGGTTATCAGTTTACTATCGTTTTTCACTAACTGCAGGGGTAAATCTCACCACGCCCATACATGGGGTCATACAGGGCCAGCCAGGCAAAAGCCCCACCCCGCCTACAGTCCTGGGCTGCCCGGCACCCACACTTCCTTCAAAGGAACAACACAGCACTAAGACTTTCTCTTTCTCTTTTCTTTTTTTAAGCCCCCAACCTCAGTGGGCATCTGATATAAGGCAGCTCAAAGAGAATTAGGTCTGGGAGTTTTTTGATCAGAAAAAACGATTTCTCTTTTCAATAAGTTGGATAGGCTGCTGGTGGCTGCCCCTGCCACCACCCCGGGGAACAAAGCTTGAAAATAAGCCCCACACAAGGGAAAGGGGAAAACAGAAAAAGAAAGGAGCAGAGGACTGATATGGGGACAGGAGGTGGGGGAGAGGGGAGGAGACAGGTGTGAGAGAAAAAAGTGCCTGAAGACGATGTTTGCACATCAGAATCCAGCCAGACCACTCCACATTTTTAAAATTTACGTTATAGAACTAAGAAAAAGAATGTCAAAGGAGATAATACTTTAAATGAAGGAAGAAAAGAAAGGGTCATGGGTAGCAATGGGAAGCCAGGAAGATGCCTACTCCACCCCGAGGGCCTAAGGGATGTGGAAGAAATGAATGGTTGAGGCGGGCTGCCGAGGAAACTATTCTCAGGAGACGATCCAAGAGCTAACAGAAGAAAATGGTCAGGGAAGAGAATGAGGCTACCAGAAAATAACTGGAAGAGGGCAGCCCATTATAATGTCCAAAGGGCAGGAGGGAGAGGGAGAGCGGACAGACGGGGGGATCAGGGGGACAAGTGTCTATGTCAAAATGAGTTGGGAAACATGGACTTTTCCTGGTGACCGGCGTGGATCAGGATGTGAGGTCAAAGATGGCGAAGTGGAATTGCCAAATCCCTGTTTTGCCTGTCTTCTCTACACAGAGAATGGGTATCAGATTGGAAAGAGGAGAACGAACAATCGTCTAAACCAAATGAAAGCCAAGACAGGCTCAGAGAGAGATACAGGTATTGAAAAGGAGCTCAAGTCTTCTTGTCTAGACAGATTACACCTCAGAATACAAAGGAAACCTGCAAAGAAGATCCCGCTGATATGTGAGGCATCCAGTGAACAGGACAGTTGATGGGAGAGCAAAACAGGCAAACATTGTTCTAATTTTCAAAAAAAATGCTAAACAGACTGCCAAAAGCTACAGGCTGGTGCTTTGGATGTTAATTCAAGGCAAAATTCTAGAACATGTTATCAAATGTCTGCTTTGTGAGCTCTAAGAAGGAGAGGAAACAATTATAGAGTTAGCAAGAGTTCATATAAATAAATCAGTAATCTTAATGTATTTCCTTCTTTGAAGGGATTACGAGACTGGCAGATAACAATAGCTACCATTTATCGAAGGCCGACAGTACACTGGGCCCTTCACCATGAATCCTGACACCCAACAAGGTAGATGTTACTCTTTTCATTTTGCAGAAGAAACTGAGGTTCAGAGAAGCTTCACTGATTTTCCACAGTCTCCCAGCCAGGAGCAGGAGGAGATAGGTTCGTACCTTGAGACCGTATCACTCTGGAGCCTGTGTGTTGTCATGACCGCTCCTCCCCCCAGTTCCCCTTGCCACCTCAGACCCTGAACCCGTGGAGTCCTGTGAGTCTTCTGCAGCCCCGAGGGCCAGGGAGAGAAGCACGGTCTCACAGCAGGTTTGTGACAACATGATGTCGGCTGAGAGGGAGACCTTTGATGACATGCTGTCCTTGCTCCCGGCCTGGTCCACCACTGCCTCAGTGAGACCAGGCCGCATAGGCGGCAGAGCGTGAGGCCACAAGTGTAAACCCGGGAGCCTGCAAATCACTGGGTTTCAAGCCCTGCTCTGTTGTCTAATTCTGTGAGACCATGTAGTCCTAGTTAACACTTCTGTGCCTCGGTTTTCTTATTTGTAAAATGGGGAGAAGAGACACTACCTTAAAGGGCCGCTGAGAGGATGAAGTTAGTAGCATAAAAGGTCTAGAAGAGCGCCTAGGACATCAGGTGTCTCAGGGACATCTCTAACAATAAATCTAGACACCAAAATAAAGAAAATGAAATTGGGAGGTTGTAGGCTGTGCACATACCCAATATGTGTGCCTGTGCACACACCCCACGCATGTGCACATGCTACACACGTGTGACATGCCCACAACACACACACACACACATGCACACACATACCACTGCACATGTGCACACACATACACACACACACACACACCCTGCAAGAACAGAACCCATCAAAAAAGACCGGAACTTGTTACAGAAATATTCAGGGAATGAAAGAGCTCTTGGAAGATGGCTGATTAAAAGGACAAACCCCACAGATGAGTTAAAGATAAAATCTGGTAAATCTCCCAGAAAGCAGAGAAGCAAGAGATGGAAAATGGAAAATAGAAAAGATAACTCATGAAAGCCTAATACCCAAATAACAGAAGTTCCAGGAAGAGTGAAAGAGAAAACAGAAAAAGAAAAGACAAAGAAATAAGACCAGAAAACTTTCCAGGATAGAAGGACACAGACCTCAGGACTGACAGAGCCCCCGAGAAGTAGAAATCAGGAGAGGAAAAGGAGGTTGCCGCTTTCCAAAGTCTTGTAGTACAGCTGCATTATTTTTATTGATGCTGAATAGAAAGTTTGAAAATGAATTGGAAACAAATCAAACAGAAAGTACTAAACTTTGCATGGACGTCAAGTCATAAACCCAGAGTACAAATGAGGGAAGTCAGGAGGATGAAGGTCTAGAAACCAGTATCTATAAAGAAGAGTTAAAAGACCTAACAATATTTAGCCCTTAAAGGAAAAGGAGCGGGGGGAGGAAAAGCTTCTAGGAGCTTTAGACTTATCTCACAAGGATTAAAGTTCCAGGAAGGCAAATTCTGGCTCAACGTGAGAAAAATTTTTCTAACAGGTTGTGTTTTCACCATAGAGAAATAAGGATTATCTTGTGGGAACATGAGTTTCTGAATTATTCGAGCAAATGCTGGCTAACCAGCGCCTAGGGGTGGTTCGATGTTAGAGCTGAGGAACTGCAAGGTTGCCATCTCACACTAGACAGCCACAGGTTAAAAAAATACAACTGTACTTTGTTTTCCAAGGTTAAAATATGTGCTATGTTAAAATCCTTTTTGTACCATCACAGTCTGTGCTGGTCTCTTGATCAGGGGGCTGTGTCGTCGTCCCCTCAGGTGTTGGCAAGTCCTCGGATGTGCTAGGACCACCTTTTGTGTCAGAGGTGTCAAGGTCCTTTAACATACTGCAAATTGAAAAACATAAAACCAACCTCAGTATAGACTTAGACCAAGTGTGTAATTTTTCCTCTCATGTTTTTCCACAACTGGTCAGACAATACCTAACAGAAAAGAAAAACATGGTTTTTTATCTCCTCTATTCTAGAAACTCTTTGGCTGGCCTTCAAAGACTCCCATCCTCTGGCCCCGAGAGACCTTTTCAATTTTACCTCCAATTATGTCCTTTTGGTAACCCTGTGTGGTGTAATGGGGCACGACTTACATTCCTCACAGGAGCCCAGTGTGGTCTACTTGGTCTACTTGAGGGATTCTGCCTTGCTCTCCTCTCAATTTGGAAAACCACTGTCCAATCTCTTATGACAATTTATCACTTTATACAAAAATTATTAACACATATAAACACAGTCAGCCTTACTAGAAGTTACAAAATAAATGACCACTAAAATTAGTGTTAAGAGAGAATACCATGGAAATCCAAACAAAGATAACACTTTCTGGAACCTGAGAAGGCTTTGCCAACAAGGGAGATTTGAGGAAGCTTTGAATGATAGGTATGGGAAAAGTAACACCATGAGAGACAAAGGATAATTCTCTTTACTTGATAACAACTGTACTTGCCTAAAGCAGGATTCTGGAATGCAATCTTCTAACTTAATTGAGCAGTGATAAATAACTATACTTTACATATTTTTTTTTTAAAGATTTTATTTATTTATTTGAGAGAGAGACAGTGAGAGAGAGCATGAGCGAGGAGAAGGTCAGAGGGAGAAGCAGACTCCCCATGGAGCCGGGAGCCCGATGTGGGACTCGATCCCGGGACCCCAGGATCATGACCCGAGCCGAAGGCAGTCGTCCAACCAACTGAGCCACCCAGGTGTCCCTACTTTACATAGTCTTAAAAACTGATAATATAATTAAAGAAAAGGCCTTATATTTTTAGCAACATTTTCCAGATTGTTGGTTTGTCTCATCTGCCTCATGGGAGCTTAGGGTTATCATAGGGGCGTAACTGGAGATAGAAACGAAGAGGTAATGTGGGGCCTGAAGATAGAGGACTTTGAGGGCTGGCTCGAGAGGTTTAGGCACACAGGAGATACACAAACACCTTTCTCTTTTCTGTTATACATTATCTGATGACTGCACCTCTGAAATTAATCCAGAAGTCACAACAGTGTTTTAAAACAATATCAAATACAAAAGAAAATTTATGTGTGTGCTACACGCAGTAAGAGTATCATTTATGAAAATTCTATTTCAGTTTTAAAATATATACAAATATGTATTTGAGATTGCAATGGAAAATATATAGAGAGAATCTACCTTGGGAATAACCTTGGAAATAAGCATTTGCCAACTGCTAAAAATCTAGGTAAAGTTAACCACGGTATGACAACTCAATAAATTACATAGCCATTAAAAAGAATAAAAATAAAGATTACCTAGCAATATGGAAAAATGTTTCAAAAATGTTGAGAAAAGCAGAACCAGAAATTATAGATACATGTTGATTATAGTGAAGCAAAAATCACACACATAGGCAGACAATATCAAAACCTAACATGAAACAGAACGTCTGGTTTTTTGGAACTGCAAGACTAATAAGCATCCTGGGAAGCTGTCCGGAAGGTCATAGGTGCAACATACACTTTTTTAATAAACAGGAAAAAAACCCCAGATGTTCAGTAGGAATCAGTATGGTCCAGGAAATAGCTCCACACTGGACCCTAGTCCATGTGCCATCAACTGTATCATCCCAGGCAATCCCCTCTCCTCCCTAGTTCACTCTACATGAACTCCTGCTCAATTCTTGCACTTTCAATAATTCTGTCCTAATTTCTTTGGGAAGGGAGGAGAGGACAGCTCCTACAGTTTATTAGTTTTGTCATCAATAGTGATCATGCTCTGACCTTTCCCTCCTCTTTAAACCGCCTAACCCACCTGTTAAAACACAACCCCAGAGAAAGGAGGCTACACAGGCAAACATCTCCTTCCTGCCTGCCTTCCTTAATTAAGGTGGGATCCTAGAGGGGTATGTTTCTCATCAGAACACTGGTTACCAATACAGTAAATACTCTGCCACTCGACTGGTCTGGGCTGGGTCAAAGATGGAGGTAAGACTGACTACTGGTATTTTAAGCTATTGATGGGTTATGCGTACCACCTCTTTCTCCCACAATACTGCCAATTAGCCACAATCATGTCACTGATTTACTGAAGTTCAGTGAATGACAAATAAAATGGCCAATTCTATCCTGCACGGTAAAGAGAAAAGGAAAGGAAAGGAAAGAACAGGACATATTATTTACTAAGTCACTTCCCAAATAAGGAGTTAGTTTTGTGTCATTTCAGGACTAGGAGTTTGAAAATACAGTATTTTTAGGAATATATTCCACACGTCAAAATCAACTAAATAAAACTGGAGGTCCCATGTAATTAATCATAGCGTGACTTTATAGCTATAGAATATCACCAATTAAATAAAATGTGTAAATAGGGATTTTTAGTGCTTTCATGCAGATATAAAACTTTGCAGAAGCATGGAATGCAACTATACAGAAATGATCGTACCTAGCCAAACAGAATTACTTCAGATATCCCAGAAATAAACAATAATGTTCAGTGAGTAACTTGCTGTTTTACCTGAAACATTTTAAAGAGGAAGAAGAGGCAGAGATCATTTCTTCTTCTGGAGAAGGTGGAACAAAGTCTGCATCGTAATCATCCTCGTCAAGCTCAATACATGGAGACCTCTCGACTGAAAGGAATTCTGTTTCTTCCAAGTTCTTCTTTTCACTACCATCTAAAGTAAAGCCGTGGACAGACACAGGTTACTTTCATCGCTCCTGAGACAGAGAGCACAGGGCAGGACCCCCGGGGTGGTGCCAGCACTGCCCGTGCGCCCTCCCTCTGCACGGCCGTGCGGGGGTTTCCTCATCAGTAAGGACTGAGTCACCTGGCCCAAGTCTAATGGATGCAGGAATGGGGCTGACGATCCGCTTACGATTTGCATGATGGTCTCCAGTTCAATTAGGAAACCCCAACTCAGTATCAGCATCTCTTTTTTCCTATTTTTCACTCATATTTCAGTAAGAGGGAATTTTAATAAATGAGTCTGATAATCGTACAAACACTGTTAACTTTACCACAAAGGCACCCTAGTTACTGAAGTCGCCACGTCCAGTGTCCCTCTCTTGACTGTGTGGGATTATAATGCCCAGTGGTTGCTCGTCAGTTTACCTCTGACCCCATTTTCTCTTCATAAACAGCCTCGCATTTGATCAGACTCCATCACCTCTCACCCCCTAGAAACCTGACGGCATTCGGGTGTTTATTTATTTATTTTTTAATTTTACTTATTTATTTATTAAAAAAAATTTTTTTTTAAAGATTTTATTTATTTGACAGACAGAGATCACAAGTAGGCAGAGAGGCAGGCAGAGAGAGAGGGGGAAGCAGGCTTCCCGCTGAGCAGAGAGCCCAATGCAGGGCTCGATCCCAGGACCCTGAAATCATGACCTGAGCCGAAGGCAGTGGCTTAACCCACTGAAGCACCCAGGCGCCCCGGCATTCAGGTGTTCAGAAGTGTCAGCCTCACATTTACCACCACTTTATAGGGCGGTTTGCTTCCACACATGGCTAATCTCAGCTGTGAGCTTCTGGACACCTAAAACCTAGAAGACCTGAACAGAGAATGATGTGAATGTCATCTGGAATAGCTTATTGCCATATCCAGATCACGTCATACATCCACAGTCAGTGGGAGCACGCGATAAAGGAATTATAATGGAAAGTCTTACTTTCATGTCCCAGTTCTGCCATGAGCTAGGCAACGGGGCATTAAGAAACCATTTAACCTCCATGGACCTTATAGAGCTATCCTTGGTGTTTATGCAAAAATTATGTCAGCAGAATAAAATCTTTCATGTCATCCATGGGTCCCGCATCAAGAAGTGGCCAACAGACTGTGCAACAGGTCCCTCCACAGAGCCTAAGGACAAAGGCTGGATCTATTTGCTATTGTTCCCAGTGCCAGCTTTGAATAAATTAATACAGTCAATATACTGAAAGGGGATAAAACATCATTTTTACCTCTTTCTTCTCCCAAATGAGTTTTTGAAGGTTGACTCTCCTGAGCACCGCCAGGTATAAGGTCTTCAGGACCGGGGTCATCGTCAATGCAAATCACATCGTCACTGAACCATTCCGAGTCGTTGTTCTGTTTCTTAGTCAAACATGCCTGCTTGCTTTCAGAGGAGGATAGAGTCAAATCAGCCTTTACTGTATTTGCTCCGGGAAGCTGCGCTTTCAAAACATTTCTCTTAGACTTTTTCGATTTCTGAGCAGTGCTTACTCTCACAAAGTGATTTCTGCATGGCGTGACAAATGCTTTTGAATTTCCAGAAGTATCAAAGTCATCCATATCATCCCAATCGTTGATGGTAACAAAAGAATCTGATGAAGAACTAAATTCCAATTTCTTGAAAGTAGCATTACCGGATTTTTTTACAATCGGTGTGTTCTGGGTGTTACATAAAACTCCCTGTGGAACTTGCAGCACATCTGGCAATAATGGTTTTGAAACAGCTCTCCTGGTTTGCTGTCCTGCTGGAGCATTTCTGAAGTCGCTGGGACTTGTCTGCTGACTTGGGGTGAGGGGCGGTGGTCCACTGAAGGAAAAGGCCTCAGCGACATTAACATCTTTATCATTTAAGGCAGGTGTTTTCGCTACTGAGACACTAGTGACAGATACATTGTTGGCCAATGTTACTTTCTTTTTAAAAGTGAAACCTCTGAAACATAATTGAAAAACAAAATTGAAAAACTGAATTAGACTGGTTAGTTTTAACAAACCCACCAATTCCAGAAAACTCTAAAATCTGTTACTGATTTACACAGCAACTCCTTCACTATATCACAAATGAGCAAAGAATCTATCTCCCGCTCTGGTTTTGAAATTTATATGGTGACTTCAATTATACTTTGTCTATTCTGATCTTCCCAATTTAGAAGCTAATTATTCAGTTTTGAGAGTGTCCATGCCTATTTCATAGGCAGGTCGTCCTTAATGAGTAGTGCCTCCAGCGGGAGGGGACAGCATAAAAGAAAAAGAGAAGAGACGCAAGTGTAGCGACTTCTTGTCTCTCTGACACATGGTCTATGGGGAAGAGAGGTGACGACTGACAGGCTACACTGGAATCTGAAGGACAAGTGAAAGGGGCAAGTGTTCTGGATGTCTGTTGGCCTTGGTGACATGAAGTTCAATGGTAACTTTCAAGTCCAGCTCCCAGAACAGTTGGTGAAGTTCTAGAAATTATTATTAAATGTCATAAGGAATTTGGAGTCTAGCTCAGAGGAGAGAACACAACTGGAGAGCTACAGTGTCCTTATAAACTTTCTGGAATGGCTATAAAATTATATTAAAATATTAAAATACCAATTTTTCCCAAATTTATAAGAAGATTCAATATTCATTCATCCTACAGATATTTACTGAGCAAGGTTCACGTGCCAGGAACCAGGCAAAGGTACTGAACATTTACTACCTGGAGCTCCTAATGCCTGCGCTACTGGTAATTTGCAAAGTGGGAAGATCACTGACCCCTCAGCTTCATTTCCTCATCTGCACAGTAAAAGGGTTGAAAGGGAAGGTATTTCATTTGTATGATACTGTGGGTCAGTGCTTGTATGGGAGCCAAAATACTTACGAAGGTTTCGGTTTTGAAGGGCTTAACTTGTTACTAAGTTTTCTGGCTGAATGGCGTTCCAGTTGCTCCTGTAGATTATTCTGGGGAACAGCAGCCATGATCCTAAACAGTGAGGAAAAGAACTTATCAGTGGAGTTATGCACTTTGGATTAATCATAGTATTCTTGGGGGGAGGGTGGGGCATGGAGCACTGTTCATCTGTGCTCAGTTAGGGGTTTTTTTGGTCAATAAATTGCTCTGACATTTTTTCACAAGTGGTGGTATTTGAACTAAATAACCTTTAACTCACTTGAAGGCTCAGTTAAACAGCAAAATGACCTGGTTTCCCTCGATGCTAAAATAAGCACAAAAGATATCAGACAAGAGATTATTTGTGAAGGATTTGGAGAAAAACAGGACAGGGCTTGGGCTTGAAGAATAAATGGAAGCTGAAAGGGGGTGAGGTGGGAGTGAACGAGGAAAGCACACGGAAAACCCCAAGAAGAGATGAGCAGAAAGAGGACCTTCCCTGAGCACCTTCATACCCCTGGTGGGAAAAGTGGGGTATCGCTGGATACCGCTCATGATAACACACAGCCTCAGTACCCTGAAGGTTCCTGAGGCCGAAGGAAGACAGGAGAGCTGGAATCCATGCACAGGCAAAAATTCTCCTTCAGGCTGACAGTTACAACCCCCTTTCCCATTCCATCCTGACCAGAGGTCTACTTTTATGCCATGTACCTTAAGAGGAAGGGTCGACTGCACTAGATGATATTCATGGAAATACAAAGTTTTATAGAACTCATATTCCACTCACTGATTATTAAAATAATCTGTTTAACAGCTGTTTTACTTGGTTTTTTAAAGTTTATTTATTTTAGTAATCTCTACATCCAATGTGGGGTTCAAGATCCAAAGTCATACTCCTCTAAGCCAGCCAGGCATCCCTATTTTACTTTAAATAGTAGTAAAAACAATCTGGAAGAAATGGAATTGTATTCAATTGAGAAATTTCCATTTGTCCAGCTTGATGAAGATGATTATGATATAAATTTTGTTCCCTGTTCTCCAGAAGGAATGATTTCTGCCTCTTCTTCCTTGTTAATATACTTTAAGTAAAATAGCTAATTAATAAACACTGAATAATTCACACTGATAATGTGAATTATATCTTAATAAAGTTGTTACCAAAATAATCATAAAAAAGTAGACAGAAGGGTTATAATGAACTCCTACATATCCGTCGCCCAGTCTCAACAGTTTATCAACTTGCCCAATATCATTTCACTGGACATATATCCCGGTGTCCTCACTTTACCATTCTGGAAATTAACCTCCTCAAATGATGTATTTTAATCCTGTTGTCCCTTCTTTATTCATTACCTGGAATATTTCTATCAAGAGACACTTCCTCTGATCTATTATTTTGCTACCTAGTATGGTACAGTTCACACAGGAAAGACAGGATAAATGTTAGATTCTTTCCTTTATTTGTTAATTTTCAAATCAATGACTTGATTTTCTAATAACCCGCAATGATGGTCAATTTTTTTCCCAGTATTATAAGCTCACAGGTTAAACATATTAGGTACATCTTAGCCCAATAGTTATCATCCTCGTTGACTGTCCAATTATTTCATGTTTGGCCAGTGGGAGTCTCCGAAGTCCTTTTACATATAACCTTCATAGTCTTTGCGAGATCCCTTGCTCTCTTGAATGAAAAGATATTCCAGGCTAATCTTGTGTATTTTTTGCCCCAGACTTAGAATCAGCCATTTCCCCCAAAGAGCCCTGATTTTTTTCATGAAGAATATGTTAAGACCACAGCCTCCATGTGTCCAAAGGCACCTACCTATTTTGTCCCAATGTGGGGCTTGAGCTCACAACTCCGAGATCAAAAGTCGCACAAGTCCTATGCTCTGACTGAGGCTACCAGAAGCCCTGGCACCCCCCAGTTTTATATCCAGTTAAAAAGATTGGTCTTTGGTTGAAATATGCTCTCTCCAAGGTCCATCCAGTGTGGAAATCCTCTGCAGTATAAATGAGAGAGAGTGAAGTCACACTGCCGTGTCTCAGCATTTCAACCTTTGCGGCTGATAGAGGCAGAGGCACACAGACCTTTATCCTTAAGACACTAAGCAGAACAAAATGGTCCATGGCATCATTACAGAACTTTCCCCCACATTCCTTCTAAGTTTTTACAGCTTTTATCTTATCCCTCTATGAATTTTCCATGTCTTATTCATTTTTGCATCAAAACCAGCCATGGTACTCTTAAGAGATTTCCAACATTACTCCACAGCATGATGACACGTGAACTTAGTCATCTCAATAGTACAAAAGTTTGATTAAATACTTCATAACTGTAGTGACACATTATGGATTCATAGTTAGCGTGCAGTCGGCCTGAAACCTGGGGCACTCTTCCCTATTTTTAATAACCACAACATTGTGGTTATTCCCAGAGGGCAGCATCCTCTAGCCAGAGACATATCCCAAAGCATGGCAGCAAGCACACAATTTTCTTTTCTTTCTATTACGTTCACAATTTTCTACTCAATATTCTTCAGTGGGAATGCTCTTAAGAAGTTGGGTGAGTGCTGAGAAGCAAGGAAGTGTCTTCTTTGTGCCTACTCCATTAAAACATTAAAATTGATACACAAAAAACTGTTCACTAACAACAGCAAAGATTAGTGATATAAAATTAAAGAAGGAAAATAAACTGAACACAGAGACCAGTGAGAAGTTTCACAATACCAAAGAAGAGCAACTAAACGATGAGCCCAGAAAACTTCTGAATTAGGCTCCCCACAGGAATCGCAAGTGTAATTTGGAAAATGATCAAAAATTTTCTCTCACTTGCAGAGGGAAATCATTCTTAAGCCACTGTATTAAGCAAAACACTGATTCAAAAATACGAAAAAATTTGCTGAATGGAACAAAGTAAACCGCAAGACCATATCCATGCACAGAAAGAACAAGCCAGTGAAAAGAAGGAATGAGAGGATGAGAACAATCCAGAGCTGGAACACAAAACATATATCCAGTAAAAGAGACTTCTTCAAATATTTGTAAATTAAAAGAAACCAATGGCAAAAAATAAATGATTAAAGGGGCCCTATCTGAACAGTATCTTGAATAACAAAAATAGTTTAGGAGGACCTTTATTTAACAAGCATGTTGTGATACTAAGAAGTAGTCTAATGACATTAAACTAAAAGGAAAAAAAAATTAAGTAATCTCTACACCCAACAGGGGGCTCAAACTCACAACCCTGAGATCAAGAGTTGCATGCTTCATTGACTAAGCCAGTCAGGCGCCCCTAAAAGGAAAAATTAAAAAGATCCAAGCAACTCTCATTCACTTGTGACAAGAAGAGAAGTATCTTCTTGGAGTTTGTTTTTTTTGTTTTTCTTAAGATTTATTTATTTGCTAGAGAGAGAGAGAGAGTAGGAGAGTTAGTGGGGGTGGGGAACAGAGGGAGAGAGAATTTCAAGAAGATTCCACACTGAGTGTGGAGCCTGATGGGGCGCTCGATTTCACAACCCTGAGATCATGACCTGAGCCCAAACCAAGAGTCGGATGCTCGGCTGACTGCACCACACAGGTGCCCAGAGTTTTAACATGGTAAAGGACACGCCTATTTTCAAAACTGGCTGTTAAGAAATGTTCACACTGATGGGGCTCTGTGCTCAGTAGGGAGTCTGTTTCTCTCCCTCTGCCCTTCCCCCAGCTTGCACACATGTGCACATTCTTTCCCTCTAAAATAAATCTTCAAAAAAAGAGAAATGTTCAAATAGCAACAATGACTTTAAAAACACAAATTTAGGTAGACACAAGCAGTGGCTTGCAGACTCTGTGTTCCTGCTTTGCCAGGAAACTACAAAAGTTCTTGTGCCAGTGAGGCAGAATTTCTTAAGAATGTAAGGGGTGGAGAAGAGAACGCCTATGATGGCTATGAAGGCCCTGATGCCATGAATGTCTAATTCATGTCTTCAGATGATCATGTAGTTCCTGTGGTAAGAGAACATGTGTTAACATCCAGAACAATAAAAGCCACGTTGTGTGGCCCGAGTCAGTCTGCTGAGAATGAGACTACTGAGGTCAATTTCATGTGTGCTATCAAAGGTATGCTTGGGGGCACCTGGGTGGCTCAGTCGGTTAGGCATCTGACTTGATTTTGGCTCAGGTCATGATCTCGGTGTTGTGAGACTGCCCCACATGGGGCTCTGCACTGGGCATGGAACTTGCTTGTGATTCTCTCTCTCCCTCTGCCCTTACCACCCACCTCTCTTTAAAAAAAAAAGTACATGTGTATTTTACCTACAAGATTCACTACACTAACAGCTCCTCGGAAATGCCCAAATTCCCAACTGCATCTGAAACTGGGCTGGAATTTGCTGGTGGCTGCGAACTTCTAGATTGTTAAGTATGATAAATTATAATAAACTGTTAACTTCTTTCAGTGTTCAAAAATGAACAAAAACAAAAATTTTAAAAGTTCGTGGAAGGAGAGGGTCATCTGAGTTAACCATGTCGGCGATGTGTTCTGAGAACACTGGCAGGAAAAGGACTGTTGCTGTGAAATGCAGTTATTACAACAAAAGTAAGGTTAAAGACTGCAGAAAAACAGATGACAGAGAAAGCAAAGTTTTCTCCCTCCGCTTTTATTTATTTATTTTTTTATTTTTCATTTTTTAAAAAAGATTTTATTTATTTATTTGACAGAGATCGCAAGTAGGCAGAGAGGCAGGCAGAGAGAGAGGAGGAAGCAGGCCCCCCGCCGAGCAGAGAGCCCTACGTGGGGCTCGATCCCAGAACCCTGGGATCATGACCTGAGCCAAAGGCAGAGGCCTCAACCCACTGAGCCACCCAGGCGCCCCCCTCCGCCTTTTTTAAAAGGCAGAATTCCTTTTCTTTCAAATAAATGAGACTAAAATTACTATTCTGGGATCTATCACAATCAGTATTACCTTCTCTCTAGGTCAAGCTTTTCTTTTCTTTTTGTCGTCTTAGGATGGCTACCTCAGGACACAGGGAGAGACTGGCCAAAAAGACTGCTCTTAAGAAACTCAGGGGGGTGCCTGGGTGGCTCAGTGGGTTAAGGTCTCTGCCTTAGGCTC